CTCACTCCCCAAGGATGGTGAGGCCTTCCATGGGGCACCATCAAAGTCTTTCACATCATTTGGGGGAGGGCCTAGGTCCTCCTCCGTGTATCTGGGCTGAAAAAGTATTCCTTCATAGGGAGTGGGCTCCCAAAGTCCATTTGTGCACTAGGGATAAATAGTTTCCACTGTTAGAGGTTCCATAGCCTGCCCAGGCCTCCTAACTGGCACCCACATTCAAAGGGTTTGGTTCAGTCCATTGCTAGCTCCCCAGCTTTATGCCTGGCGTCCAAGTGCTCTCACTAGGTCAGGTCAGCTGGCTCTATAGGTTTCTCCAGCATTGTCTTGACTGCTTTGCTCTTCCCTCCTCCCTCTCTACAACTGGATTCCAGGAGTATGGCACAGTGCTTAACTATGGGTGTCTGCTTCTGCTTCTAACAGCTACTGGAAGAAGGCTGTTCAGGGGGCCTGGATTGGTCCTATGTTGGCCCCCCAGCTGTCAGACTGGGATTCTTGAGTGCCCACTTTCTCAGGTCAGCTGTTTATGCAGGTTTTCCCAACATGGCCTTGACCCCTTTGTTGGTCAGTCCTCCCTCTCTGAAACTGGATACCAGGAGTTGGGCTCCATGCTTAGCTGTGGATCTATGCTTCTGCTTCCATCAGCTACTGGATGAAGGCTCTAGGATGGCATATAAGGTAGTCATCATTTTTATTATAGGGGAAGGGCATTTAAGGCAGCCTCTCTACTATTGCTTAGGTTCCATCCTTGTGGATCTCTTTAAACCTATAGTGGTTCCCTCTTTTCTTGTTCTCCTCTATTCCTTTCCCCACTCAATCTTCCTGATCCCTCATGTTCTCCTCCCTCCTCCTCTTCTCCATTCCTCTTTCTCCTACTTCTCTCCTCCCTCTCCCCATGCTCCCAATTTGTTCAGGGGCTCTTGTCTTTTCTGCTTCACTGGGGGACTGGGTATGTCTCTCTTACTGTCTTCCTTGTTTCTTTGGAGGTATGGATTGTAGTCTGTTAATCCTTTGCTCTATGTGTAATATCCACCCAGTCACAGAGAATTTTCCACTTCTAACATTTCTTTACATAAATATTTTTAAATCTCAATTTCTTGTCTTATTTTTTTTTGATGTTGCTTTACTGTTTCTTGTTGTTTGATCTATATAGCTTGTATCTTCATCCATTTGGTTCAGTTTTCCCCACTTCCATCCCATGTTGCTTATTTTCCAGGGCCTGAATTATATCCATCTGCTTGTCTTTATCTTCTTTGAGGTCACTGATCATTTGTACTATTAAATTTCTGACCTCTTTACTTAGCCTTTTATACATTTTAGTATCTTTGAATCCAGTAGGTCAATTATTTTAGATTTTTTTTGTATGTCCATTGTGTGATTTGCATATATGCAGGCTTCGGTATCTCTTTCGACTTTATTTGGGAACTTTCTTACCGAGAAGCTTGAGGCCTTGTTCTTTAGTACCACTTAGGGAGAAGGAAATAAACAATTATAACAGCAATAGTGTCAAAACATACAAGATACAGAAATATACTTAATATCCATTAAAGCCACTTATATATCATTAGTGACCACAACCCCATGGAATACTAATGTAGAATAGTTTGTGTTCTCATTGCTCCCCCCCCCCCCCCCCCCCCCGCTGAGTTGTACTCCATTGTGTAAATGTACCACATTTTCTCTGTCCATTCTTCGGTTGAGGGGCATCTCCCAGCAACCACATGGTGGCTCACAATTGTATGATCCGGTGCCCTCTGCTGGCATGCAGGCTGAAGACTGTATAGACTGTATATGTAATAGATAAATAAAATCTAAAAACAAAAACAAAAACAAAAAATCAACAACAACAAAAAAACCACATTCTGACAAAAAGCAACTTAGGGGAGGAAAGAGTTTATTTGGCTTACATTTCTAGATCATAGCCCACCACTGAGGGAAGTCAAGACAGTAACTCAAGTAAGAAATTGAAAAACAATCTGCTTGTTGGCTTACTGATAGATTGGTTCATACTTAGCTAGCTTCCTTACACAGCCCAGCATCATCTCCAGAGTACTGCCCACAGTGGGCTGGACTCTCCTACATCAAGTAACAGTGAAGACAGCCCCTCACACACATGCCTACAGGCCAGTCAGTTCTGTGTAACTCCTCAATCGGTGGCTCTTTTCAGATGATTCTAGGCTGTGTCAAGTACTAGGAAAAATATTTTCTGATGTTAAACATTATTTTAAGATGTATAAGAAGGAAATGAATGAGATAAAGAAAGGAAGGGAAAGAAAAATAGAGAATCAAAGTTAAACAAAAATTAGACAAGGAATGGAGAAGGATGTTTTAGGGTGGAAGAGAGCAAGAGGTTAGAAAAGAAAATGAAAAAAAAGTTTTTTAAATAAGAATGTTTAGAAACAATTAGATAAATGTAAGAAGGGGAATAAAAATAGTTTACTGTTTGTTTGGAAAAACAACAGTAGCAATTACTAGAAGTGTAGTAGAGAGAAAGAAAAGCAAAAGGTTGGCCCAGTAATGAAAAATATATAAATAAATTACTTTTAAAACTACACGGAAGCAAAACTACCGTTAAAATCTAGTAAAAAGGAAAAGGGGAAACACCAGGGGGGTGGAGTTGGGGACAAGAAAGGGAAGATGAGGTGGTGGAGCAGCTTCCTGTGGCTTGGTGGCTGTGCCCTTGGGGCACTGAGGAGCATCTGTTGAGTTTGTGGGCTTTTTTTGTATTTCCTTTGTTTATGATGGTGTTGACTTTTTGGAGGGTTTTCTTATTTTCCCATCTTCCTTCCAGGGAGCTGTGATCATTTTGACTTCTTTTCTGTGAGCACTTGTATGTTTTTCCTGAACTTTTCAGGTGTCATATGGTTACCTTTGTGAGTTTCCGACACCTATCTCTTTCTCTGTTTGGGATAGAGTGTTTTTTCTTACTATGATCCTTCTCTTTCATTTGGTCACATGGAGGTAGCTTCTGGTCTGACATCTGGCACAGAAGTTGGGAGATCACTTCTTAACAGCATATGCAGGTTCTTGCAGAGACAAATGGCTCACATGAAGATGATTAGTTCACACTCATAGAAGTCATTATGATACCAATAGGAAGCAGTTGTGAAATTGTTCAGGCGGTTCATTTTACACACTTACGATACTAAATATTTACATTTTATACATTTTTCTTGAAATGATATTGTGTATGGTCTGTTAATGTCTATTTGCCTGTATTTTGTTAAAATTTAACTTTTTATAGGCTTATTTGTATTTTATGGTAGTAAATGATAAAAAACAGACTATTATCCATTTATACATTATTCATTCATGATAGGCTTTTTTAGCTGTTACTGTTTAAAATTATGATAAAACAGCTTAAAATTGTGATATATTGGGAGAAAGTTTATTTTCACTGACTTAGAGACCAGTACATAGCTGCTATGAAAAACATGGAACCACTGAAATGTAACAATGTAAAAAAACCTCCTTTTAAAATTAATTAATTTCTAATTAGCATACAAATTAATATATTTCCTTATGGCATTTTCATACATTCCATCACCTTTTGTAGTATTTATAGCAGGGTGTGATCTTGATTTTTCTTTTCTAGATTGTATCTTAAATGAGAATGTTAGCCTTAGGAAGACAGACAATAATGGTTTTACTAATGAGTATAGTTTCTGGTGCATCGTAGGAACTAATGGAGTATGTGTTGAATGTATGAATGGAAATGAATGCTAGAAGGTGCCATAGTCCCGAGAGTCCAGTCTGTAACATGGGAAAGAATTTGCTTTGATTAAGGTGTTCTAATGAGAGAGTGTATTGTGTCTAGTAAGGCATGGCAAATAAACTGGGTTCCATTTAAATTATAGTAAAAATGATTTTAGTTTCAAGTTTTTAGTTGAATCTGATTTTTATGTATGCTCTTACATATACTCTTTCTTTTGCTGGAAATATTTCTCTGGAAGTAGATAGAGGAGGAATTTATTTTGGAGGGACTGACCATAATCTGCTGATGTGGAGTGAGATAAGATGACATCTAGTTTCCTTTGGTTAAGTTGGTAGAAAGTGGCTTAGTTACTAAAACGAGAAATATGGATGAGAAACAGTTATGGAAAGTTCATGAGAAATTCTGTTTGGGGGCTGGAGAGATGGCTCAGCGGTTAAGAGCACTGCTCTTTCAGAGGTCCTTAGTTCAATTCTCAGCAACCACATGGCAACTCACAGCTGTCTGTAACTCCAGTCCCAGAGGCTCTGACCCCCTCACACAGACATACATGCAGGCAAAACACCAATGCACATGAAATAAAAAAGGAAGAAATTCTGTTTGGTCACATTTGGCTTAAGACACTGATAAAACTTCTTTAGAAATGACAAGGGATTTGGATTCCAAGTTAGGAAATTAGAGGAAACATTTGTGTTGGGATAGAAATCCTGAAGACTGTGAGCATAGAGACATATAGGAGCTTTTCATTCATCACAGTGAGATGGTGCCTACAGTGAGTGTGGCAAGGGAAAAGAACTTCCAATATTTGAAAATCAAATAGAAAAATGTAACAGAGGCTTGGAGAAAGATTGCCTGAAGAACTATACTTGGATTGTATGATGCTTTGGCAAGTGAAGAAGCAAAGTGCAGTTTAAAAGAGGAAAAGACATGACTTGCTAACTCATGCTGGAGTTTCATAAACACAGAACATATAAAGTGGTAAAATAACTACAAGATAAATGAAGGGTTTTACAAAGAAAAGTGGTTTACTTTCTTAACAGCAGTAAATGAAAGTTAGTTGAGGAATATAATATTTTTGTTTAGATATTCTTGGGAATTTTTATTTTATTATTTTTTGAAAAAGTTGAAAAGTAAGTTTTAAATGTGCAATTTGAACTTGAATTTTTCTTTTTCCCAAGATTAATGGTTTTAGTGCCACCCAATGGCAAAGTGGAGCATTGCAGCCACATTTATATATGCAGTGAAAAGACCATTTCTGGGGATTTTTGTTGATGGACTGTCCATGGATTGCAGGGTCTTGTGTTCTTCAGGTCAGCCTGACTATTCTGCTCTTGTCACATTACTCATTTATTCACAGTGCATGTCATTTAATTTAAGGTGCTTTTTTTGGGGGGGGGTCTTTCAGGTTTTAGCTCATGTATTTCCCTCTAAGAGTTCTCTTTTCTACCAACTTAAAGTTACTATTATACTCTGAAACATTTCCTCTGTCATTTGCTGTTTTACTTTCTTTATATCTTTTAGATTGGGTATGATCTTTCTCTCTCTTCACTTCTCTCTCTCTTTCTCTCTACTCCCCTTGTTTTCTCTCTCCCTCTCTTTTCTCTTTTCCTCCCTCATTCTCCCATATCTTTCTCCCCTCTCCCCTCTCCCTTCTCCCCTCTCCCTCCCTCTCTCTGTTCTTTTTCTCCCCTTCTCTAGTATTTAAGCTTTGGGACAGTGCCTACCTGCCCAGGCTTCTACAGTCATGTAACCCAGGATTAGGTTCAGTGTCTGTTATGTGGTATATAATATCCTCAGTCAAAATTAGTTTTGTGAATGAATGTATGAATGTTGAGAAATTCTGAGTTTCTGTGAGACTATAGATCTATCAAGAAAATGGAATTTCATTGTATTTGATTATTGAGACTTAACTTGGTAGAGGAATGCTATGTATGAAAGCTTTTTTTTGAGTGTTGTAAAATATTAATATCTCTGGAAAAGAAAGACACATGTTTTAGGGTGTTGAATTTTTAAAGAATAGTTATTTTTTAAATTTCATTTTGAATTCCAACCAAATTCTCCCATCCTTTTTCCTCACACCCCCCATGTTGAATTTTATATTAGTCAATTTCAGTAATCTCCCAAATATTTCAAAGTATAGTACTTGGTCTTTAGGAAACTATTTTTTTGAAAGCATTTGGATTTGATAAAGTAATTGAATGTCTACATCTGTATTTTATAACACAGGGTTTTGCTATGTTTGTCTTTCTTACTGTGTTGAACTTCTGGGCTTAAAGGCTTTTTCTATCTCAGACCTGGGTAGCTGAGACTATAGGCATATGCACCCCCCCATGTGAATTTTCTAGTTACATGCTTTCTTTCTTTCTTTATGTATTTGTTGAAACAAGTGAATAAAACCTCCAGTATTTCTTAACAAAATAGTTGGGTACAAGTAAAGTTTTTTGGTTGAGGTAAGGCTGGTTTGTGTTTTTCGGGTAACAGTAACTTTTAGTCTGAAAGTTAAGAGTGGAGAGAATGCATTTCCACCTTGTGGCCTAGTCTAAAAATACAGCCCCCTAATTTGTAGGCAGTCTGAATGCCAGGATTCTTTTTCATATGAACCATTTTATAAAGTTTTCTTACTTCATTTTAAAACTAGTTTGTTTTTAATCAATTTTTACTTTTTTTTTTTTATCCACTCTCTAGTTTTGCCAGGTGGATGTGGGAAGAGAAGTTTGTAGAACTGAAATGGAGGTCAGAGCTTCATTACAGAAGGTTAGTGGGTCATCGGATTCTGTGGCCACCGAGAACAGTGAAGAATTTGTTCTGGTTCCTCAGCATACAGATGATACTTCTACAAAGGATGATGGAAAGCCACGGCTGAAGGTATTGTTTTTTTCTTTTTCTAATATGGTACTTTTTTCATTAATTTGGTTTTTCCTTTTCGACTATTTGGAGCTTATCTGAGGATGGAAACTGAAGGGTTTCTTATACTATGGATCTGGATAATGAAAATCAGTGTTGGATTGATTCTTTTAGATGATTTTGATAATAATAAAAATATTTAATGCTTTATCATCCAGGGGCTAATTATTTGGTTTCATTTTTAAGTTTTTTTTTTAATTCTCTCTTGGTTATTTACCTTCTAATAAGAAATTCTTGGAGGAAGAAATAGAAGAGAAATTACAGAAAAGGTAATGCATGAATTAGACTTACTGGTTAAATCTTACATAAATTTACTTGATCAGTGTTGTTTGAAAGATTTTCCTGTTATGGATTTTATGCTTTAAATCACGTGGTAAGAGTGTGATTAATGGTTTAGCAGTTGACTGATTAGTTTAAATCTGTGACTGCTTAGTTTAAAAGCATATATCTTATTTTTTGGCAGTTGAACTACCTTCTCTCTCTTTGTCTCTCTCTCTGTCTCTCTGTCTCTCTCTCTGTCTCAAATTTTGGGTTGCCTTTTGTAAGTCAAAGAATGGAAAGCAAGCAAACCCAGGCATATGTGCATGGGAATTGGTAACCATTCTTTGTAAGCAGGAATGGAAATAATCAACTACTATTTTATTCATTATTGTTCTTAATATTAAGTGTGATGTCAGAATGTATCAGTGAGTCAGAAGGCCATTATAAAAGAGATTATTAAATACTTACATTATGTCTAGTACATAGTTCTATTCAAATAACCTCAGTGCCTTATTTTTGATAACTGTATTTGCATTATTGTGCTTAAAATATTAGGCTTGTACCTCATCTACTTTTCAGAAAAAAATATAAGTAAGAAACTTAGCAACACTCTGGTAGATAGTGAAGAATTTATAAAGAAACTAAGAATGTTTAGAGGATGATGCTAAGAAATTGTTTAAAAGATACTTAGAATGTATCATATTTAAACATTCATTTTCCTCTTAAATACATAAAATTAAGACGGTCTGATTTTCTGTGTGTGTGTAGCATGTGTGTGATACAGTGTATTGTGTGGAGGTCCAAGGACAATTTTCTCTAGTTGGTTCTCTCCTTTTACCACAAGGAATCTGGACTGTAGGTAGCAATTGCTTTTATCCACTGAGCCATCTCACTGGTCTTCTATCAGTATGATCTTGTAGTTTGAAAGTACCTGAAATGCTTTATGAAGAATCCTTTTGTGGAACTAATAAGCCCCCTTTCATTCAACTGATTTTTATTATTCAGAATTTCAGTGTGTTATGTGACATTATGTATCACTAGATATATTCTCAGTATTTACTGACTATATATTTGAATTTTTAGATCTTAGTTTCTCAAAATGCAATATTTTAAATGAATTAAGCCCCATAATTAAGAGGACTGAAAAATAATTGTCTTGTTCTGCCTTTAGATAGCTTCCAATGGTGATGAACAGTTGGAAAAAGCCATGGAAGAGATTTTGAGAGATTCTGAGAAAGGACAAAGCAGTCTACTTGTTGACTGTCAGGGTTCCAGTGAGACTTCAGACTACTCATTTGGAGATGTTCCAGCCAGCCAAACAAATAAGCCATCTCTTCAGCTAATTTTGGATCCAGCTAATACTGGTAATGTTCTAGATACTTAAAGATGATATGAGGAAATGGAATAAAGAGACAAAAACTAGAAAAATTTTAGTTTAACATTGTCTTTATATTAGACAAAAAGATTTGTGTGTGTGTATGTGCCTGTGTCAATACAGACACATGCCGCATACCTGTGCACCACAAATGTCAGGGAGTGTTGGCAAGGAAAGACTTTTTACTTTTGTGTTTGAGACAGCATTTCTCTATATATCCCCAACTGTTCTGGAACTCACTCTGTAGACCAGGCTGGTCACAGAGATCCACCTCCCTCTATCTCCTGAGTTCAGGGATTAAAGGCATATGCCACCACTGCCTGGCTTATCATTGATATTCTTGAATATGGACATTTATACATTTAACCTCTTGGCAGTTAACCCTCTTTCTTCCCCAAATTAATTCTCTTGTATTCCTGGAATTTACTTAACAAAGTGTTAGACATTTGCATACTGTCTGCAGCTTGAGTTGAGTCTTTCTTGGGTCCTTTCAGTTCCTTCATATGTCATTTTTCTGAAGCTGAAGGAATTTCCTGCAACAGCTTTTCTTCTATAGAAAAAAAAATCTCCTGCTTAATACCCTTCCAGAGAATATCTCATTTTTAGATCACATTTTACTCAGATTTAGAATATTTTATTCCTTTTATTTTTCTACTTACTTTTTTAAAAAGTTAAAATCCATATTCATATTTGTATTTTTAAGTGTTGCTTACTAATTTTGTTGTCTATAATTTTTAGATCCATTTATCCACATTGTTTTGTGTTTAGAATGTATAGTTATGAATATTTGTTACACAGATTTGTAGAATATTTATATTCTTTAAAAAAATTCCCTCCTCATTTTTAGAAATCTAGTTACAGAAATGTCAGTAAACTTCCCTATGTATGTTTGCTAGTCATTGACACTTGATTTTACTACAGGACCTTGTTTATTGCTTCATATGTCTAAGGTGACAGAAATGCATAGCAACATTTGTGCATGTAATAATACTAAAATAATTTAAATATTTATAGTTTAACTAAATAAATTCAATGACTTAAATTATTTATAGTTTTAAAAAATGAATTTTGTTATCTTTTTTACACATAGGTACTCTCTAACAATAATGATTTTTTAAAAAGTGTGTGTAGAATTATATATGTACCCCCCTCTTGCTATTCATTATATAGAAAGGAAAATTGGGTGAAGCAATTATCAAAATCGATTGTAAGAAAAGCAACTTTATTAGAATACTTAATAAATAGGTCACACAAGCTAGTGAGTCAGTGATAAGAAAAATGAAGAAATGGCTGTTGTTGTTTATGGAATGTGTACTAGTGAGTTGATTGTTTTCATTTTTTCTTTTTTTCAGAAATTTCCAAACCCAGGCCGTCTTCTCCAAGTGGACTTCCTGAAGAAGACAGTGTTCTATTTAACAAATTGATTTACTTAGGATGTATGAAAGTTTCTTCCCCACGTAGTGAAGTGGAGGCCTTACGGGCAATGGCAACCATGAGAGCTTCCAGTCAGTACCCCTTTGCTGTTACACTGTATGTGCCCAATGTTCCAGAAGGTTCTGTGAGGTAAGCTTTCTTTTTCTTTTTCTTAAGGTATGATTAAATATTCTGAGTGGGGGTGGGTATATTATATTATGAATCAAATGTAGAACTGAACTGTGAGTTTACTTGCACTTTCTAGACTAACAATGCAAATTAAAAAGTACATTTGGGCTTAGAACACATTCTCGTTTGCAGAGGGTATGTTCAAGTTAGTTAAGTACTAAGTACTTACTAATAACATTGAAATTTTACAATTTTTTTAAAGATTTATTTGATTTATTTTAAGTGTATTAGTGTTTTGCCTGCATGTTTGCCTGTTTGGAGTGCCAGATCCCTTGGAACTGGAGTTACAGACAGTTGTGAGCTGCCATGTGGGTGCTGGGAATTGAACCCGGGTCCTTTGGAAGAGCAGCCAGCGCTCTTAACCACTGAGTCATCTCCCCAGCCCTTAAATTTACAAAGTTGTGATAAAAATGCCTTTAGCATCTTAGGAAAACATTGTGTTAATGTGGTCCTTATGTGGAATGTGTGTAGGAATATGAAGGTGTGTATGGAGACAGAGGAGAGCCTCTGGTGGTATTCTGTAGATGCTGCCTGCCCATCTTTTAAAAATTTAAAGTAAAACCTTTGAGCCAAAGTCTCTTACTGGTCTAGAATTTTCCAAGTTTGTTAGGCTGGCTTCCTGGCCAGCCTGTGGGAGCTTCAGGAGCTCCTTGCCCACCTTCCTAGCACTGGCATTCCAAGCACAAGCTGCTGCACTCAATACTTAGATTCTTTTCTTTCCTTTGGGTCCCAAAGGTCTAACTCAGGTCCTCTTACTTGTAAAGCAAGCACTTTCCTTTGTTTCCCAAGCTTCAAAATGAGAGTTAGTGATAGGCAGATCCCTGGGGTTGCTGTTTGCCAGTATAGCCACAGGTCCCAGTGAGAGATTCTGTCTCAAAAAACAAAAAAGGTGAGCAAGAACACATATTATACAAACAGAGGACCTGAATTTGGGGTACTACCATTAAAGTTAAAAGAAAATATCCAAGTGTGGCTACATGCCTGTAACCCCAATATTGAGGGACAGGATTGATGGGGCTTGCTGGCTGCCACTGTAGCTGGGAAAGATCAAAACAACAAAAAATGCTCTTAAAGATTGATAACTGAGGTTGACCTTTGACCTCCTCAAGTATTGTACACACACTTACACCTGCACATGGAAACGTCTACAAATACAAATCCTCTATGACAAATGCATACAAACACACACAGAAAAAAAAAGAAAGGAATAAAAAAGAAACAGACTTTCTAGGAATGATCTGTCCTATTCCTTCTCTTTCTTTTTCTCCCCCATTTACATATCTTTATTTCTAGAGATCTGAAAAATGCTTCTTTAAATTCTTTGTGCTGGGCAGTGGTGGTGCATGCCTTTAATCCCAGCACTGGGGAGGCAGAGGCAGGTGGATCTCTGTTAGTTTGAGGATAGCCTGGTCCACAAAGTGAATTCCAGGATAGCCAGAGCTATACAGTGAAACCCTGTCTTGAAAAACAAAACAAAACAACAACAACATTTTTGTTGGGTATAGTGGTGGTGAACATCCCGGCAGGCAGAGGTAGGTGTATCTCTGAGTTGAAGGCCCCCTGGTCTGCACAATGAGTTTTAGGACAGCCATAGCTATGTAATAGAGGGACCTTATCTTACAAAACCAACCAACACACACACACACACACACACACACCAAAACCAACAACAAAATTCAACCAAAAATTCTTTGACAATTTGATGCATGTATGTGCTGAGTTTCAGACATTTTCATTCATCCTTCATTATCCTTGCCTAGCCCCTTCCTATCTTCTGCTGAAACCTTTTTTTCCAACAATCCTTCTACTTTGATGTCTTTCTCCCCCTTTAAATAAATTATATATATATATATATTATATATAATATATATTATATATATTCATGTATTTGATAGAGAATAGATATATGATATATAGTTATAGTTTTATATATATAACAACGTTGGAAAGTATATGAGTTGGCTCACTGGAAATAAGAATGAAGAAATTATTAAAATGAAATGATTTTGTGTTAGTATCTAAAAGCTTTTCAGTTATATGAAGTAATTCATTTACTTGTGTTAATAACTATTTTGTGATTTTAAGATAGTCATGTCATATTGGCATGATTTGTTCTTTGATAGTTGATATTTTAATATCATTTTTTATTATTGCAGAATTATAGACCAGTCAAGCAATGTGGAGAGAGCATCTTTCCCAATTTATAAGGTGCTATTCTGTGCACGTGGGCATGATGGGACAACAGAGAGCAATTGCTTTGCATTTACAGAGAGTTCTCATGGTTCAGAAGAATTTCAGATACATGTTTTCTCCTGTGAAATTAAAGAGGCAGTAAGTATGATACAATATAGCAATTTTATACAGAGTTGAATTAGGATATATTTTTGAACTTTGTTTTAGTTTAGTACTTGAAGCCATTTCAAAGGCTTTGAAAAGTTGGTTTGTGTGGGCAAGTTTTCATATATGCTTGCCTTTGAAAATTGAAATTGTTAACAGAAAATACTAAAAGCAGCATCATTCTAGTCTTTATTTACCATGCATCATGAACACATAATTTTAATTATAGATGCTTTTATGACCACCACCCAAGAATTCATAGAAATGTAGATCTTTGTGAGTTTAATATGAAATGTGATTGGGATGCTATTTCTTATGCCATGGTAATTATTTTGCTTTACACTAAAATAAACATGTGGAAACACATAATTTATATTGTAACTATAGAAATTCTCTGTGAGAATTCATGTGTTAATCAAACTTCAAGTTGTTAGTATTGCTTTTTCAGGTAAAGCCTTCATCCCAAAGTTTAAGTCTGTACTGTATACTCACTTCTTTCTCAAAAGCTGTGATTGGCAAGAGTGAGTGGGTCCAAGTGTGCTGATAGTATATCTTGCATGTAGTAGACATGAATGTAAGTATGTTGAAAGAATAGATGGATTTTTGTGAATGAGAGGACTATTTGTGGTCTTTACACACTCCACTGCAGAGGTGGGGAAACAGATTGGTAGAGTCCTGGCATTTCATGTTGACAGCTGTCACTTAATACACCTGTATGGTTACGGGATCACTGGAGCTGAACAGCAAGGGGATAAACTCTGAAGAATTGAAGAACCTGCTGCTTGAGGGATGGAAATACTGCCCTAGGAGGAAACTGAGAGGGAACCTTGCTGCAAACATTTCTGTAACTGATGGTATGAACTCTTTTGGGACTATAGCATCTATTTATTTATGAATGTAGTAGATGTTCTTTATTTAAGAGCCTTTAATAGTGGGTGGTCAATGGGAAAAAAGTGGGAAATTCTTGACTTGATAATTTTGGAGATAATACTATCACATTTCTAGACGGTGTATTAATGGTTGTGAGAAAGTGATTTTCATCTATTAATTCTTTAAAAACACATTTTTGAAAGTGTTTTATTATCAGTGATTGATGAAGAAAATATATTGTTTGAAAAAGGAGATACAGGACTATGGCCATTAAACCCTGTTGGGAGAGAATATTTCTAAATGTTGAGTAACCCAGTGTATATAGAGAGCTTATGCCAGACATAGTATGAAACATCTACTTGATTGATACTATATCATCCCATGGTATGGGTAGGAGTTTTGTAGACAACTGACCTTATATTTACCTGGGGCAACCTTAATTTATGCCCATTGTCCAGGTATACCCTTATATTTACTTTAAAAAATGTTCTGGTTTAGATGATAATTTGTGTGCTTACCTTTTGCTTGACCCAAGACAAAGTGAATGGATAAAAGAGATGGCTTCAAATTGAAGTCTTTAGCTCAGAAGAACTATATTATTTTCAGCCAACAACTTTCTTGTTTAAATATCATGGATAAGGGTGCTTGCTGCCAAGTTTGACAACTTTAGTTTGATCTCTGGCACCTATAGAGTGGACTCATCATACTCCTTCTGCTCACATGTGCACCACACACATGTGCGCGCACACACACACACACACACACACACACACACACACACACACACACACACACACACACGCATGCACTCATGCATGCACGTGCACATGCACAACACAATGTAACAAAAGATAAAATTTTAAAAATTGTAAAAAATAAATAATTTTTGTTTTTCATTGAGTTTTAATATTGGATTTATCAGTTGCATAGCTTGCATTTTAGTTAAGTTTGTGATTTGCTCGTCTTTACAGAATCTGTCAACATCATCCTCACGTCCTCCAAAAAACAATAGAATTACACTTTGAGTTAATTTGAAATCTTTTAGTTACATTTAATGGTCATATAGTTATCTATTTTCCAGGAATTCCCTGTTTTGTAGTAAAGGGACAAATACTATTTGAGTTCTTTTTTGGTGGGCACAATTAGATTAGGGGTTGAAGGACAGACAGTCTGATGATTTATGTGTGATGTGAAACAATGCCATTACTTAATTTCTTTTCCCTTTCTTTTTCCCTAAGGTTCCTGAGTGATACCTGAAGGTTTTTCTACTTAAAGAAGAGGATGCTTTCTCAAGTAATAACAGCATGGCTGCTATCAGCTGTTCCCATGATACTCTTATTTCACCTCGAATCTCTTCAGGCAGCAGATACCAACAGTGGAGAAGGGGAACCCAGGGAGGATGATAGCTCTCTTGGACACTGTGATATCAGGATACATTTGACTTGTCCTGGGTAGTCTTCTGTTGGACCCTATTGGCCTGGATATTTATAAACATATGGCAAAATAATTGGACAGTCTAACCAGACAAATCTTAATGTCTATGATCTTTGTACAGAGAAAATGATGTAAGGTTTCTGCTGAGATATTGCAGACAAATCAAAATGTCAGAAGTAGTGAAAAAAAGATAAGGTGGTACCCAGGCTTCTTGTGTCTTTGTTGATGTGGTACACAAAGCTTTCAAAGAATTCTTTAAATGGCTTAGTTAACACTAAGATACACTCCCTGACCATTTGTGTGTGAGTATGATACATGCACCTGTAAAGTATTCATTTGTAGGTATATATGAGGGTATGATACACCTAAGGTCTCACTTTTCCTAGTTCTAGAATTAACAAGTCTCCCTCCCTCCCTCCCTCCTTCCCTCCTTTCTTCCTTCCTTCTTTCCTTCCTTCCTTCTCTGTGTAGCTTTGGCTGTCCCAGAACTCACTCTGTAGACCAGACTGGCCTCGAACTTAGAGATCCACCTGCCTCTGCCTCCCAAGTGATGGGATTAAAGACATTCGCCACCACCACCCAGCACTTTTCTTTTTTGTGTTTGAGACAGGGTTTCTCTGTGGATCCTTGGCTGTCCTGGAACTAACTCTGTGCACTAGGCTGGCCTCAAACTTATAAAGACCTGCCTGCTTCTTTGTCTTGAGGGCTGGGATTAAAGGCATGTGCCACCACTGCCAGACTCCAATGAACATTTCTTGATAGTATTTCTAAAGAATAGATTGTTACATGACTATTAATGGAAAAACTTTATATTTGAAAAAACAACTGTTTTTAATTAAGTACCTTTGTCATTTAATAGCATCATTTGGATTTTAACTGAGTAGTATTTACCAATTTGGAAAATACTGAAATAAAAAAAATAAAGTTACCAAAACACTATAGTAGTTAAGATTGCTGTATATCTCTGGTTTCAGATCTGTGTACCCTCTTATCCCCACTAGTAGCAGTCAGATGCCCAATTTTGTGTCTGATGTTTTCTGTAGGTACTTTCTATGGAAACAGTTCTTCTGTACTGTTTGTCAATAAATGTCTGCCTTCCACAAAAAAGTGCCCATTACAAGTTATTTTTTTGGTTATATGCTTTAATAATATGCTCTGTATTGAAGTGTTTGCCATGGTATGTATTTTTAACTTACTTTATGTAATTTGCTATATAGTGCTCTAAGAACTGGTGTTGATAATCACTGTTTCTTTTTTTTATTAATAATTTTTTTTTTTTTTTTTTTTTTTTTTTTTTTTTTTTTTTTTTTGAGACTGTCCTGGAACTAGCTCTTGTAGATCAGGCTGGTCTTGAACTCACAGAGATCCTATGCCTCCCGAGTGCTGGGATTAAAGGCGTGAACCACCAACGCCAGTGATAATCACTGTTTCTTAACTCCATCTTATTAATCATTGCATCACTTTTGTTCTGTGCACTGACTCTAGAATTCACACATAATTTTAAACCTCTTTGGTGGAAATAGCAATTTGTGAGACATGACATTTAAGTCAATGGGCTACACTATAGCTAAATTTGAAATTTAAGCTAACATTTCTGATTTTGACTTGCTTAATGATTCTTCATTGGCTAAACTAAACACATTTTATTTGTATTCATTTTAATATAAGTTTTATGTTCTCTAATGCATTCATAGCACCTAGAATATTACTTTGTGCATAGAAAATGCTTAAAATTTGTTTAATAACTAAATTTATTGTTTTAATTGCAAAAGACTTGAGGTCTGTACTTACTATTAATACCACTTCTTTACTGCTTTTATTATTCTCACTTGTTTATACAAGATCACCAGTGGATAACTGAAATACTGCATAGTTATAAACATTGTATTATACATATGGCTCTACTGCTTATATTAACTGGATATGTTTGTAGGGTATTTCTATAGAGCTGTTAGTGTTAAAGTGTTAAGTAGTTGATTTAAGAATTGATAGTGGAAAAGAAGTTTAGGGTAGTTGAATAATTGGTGAAAGTGTGACTATAAGATTTTGAAGACAACTTGTTTTAAAATGTAGGATGGATACATACATACATACATACATATATACATATACATATACATTCAGGAAAAAGCTAATTCCACAGAATATATGAATTAAACAAAAAAACAGAGAAATGAGGTAGCATATTCCATTTTTTGGGGGGGGAGGATTTCGAGACAGTGTTTCTCTGTGTAGTTTTGTAGACCAGGATGGCCTCGAACTTACAGAGATCTGCCTGCCTTTGCCTCCCGAATTTTGTGATTAAAGGCATGCACAACTACTGCCCGGCCCAAATCCCATTTTTTTTTTAAAGTGCTGAGGCCAATTGTAGCACCTTGTTTATTCTCAAGGCACTACTGAGCTACAATTGCAGCTCAACAATTTCTTCTATTGAAAGGAATATTTTTGCTTTAAGAAAATTTAAAAAAGTATTTCCTAGATTAATATGTTCATTGATAATTTGGTTTTCAAATTGAGAAATTTGTTAATAATATTCAGTAAAATCTTACTTACATTTCCTTGTGTGAGACATTGAAAATAGGACCCTTGTTTAACTCCTCTCATCCCACCATATTTTTATTGTTCAAACTATGTGTGGATGGACTGAGAGATTGGAACTTTTTGGTGTTTCTGATGCATGGTTTGGATGTTACTTCTGACACTTATTGCAGACCCAGGAATGAGAATAGCTTTTGGAAAGTGTTGTATTTGTAGTTCTTTGCCACTTTGGGAAAAATTGTGAGTCATAAGCAAGAATGAAAATACAGCTATAATTTCAGAGTTACTAGAGTGACCCAATGCTAATAGAACAGATTCAAATATTTCCACTATTATCGTGGAAATCTTTTATACTTCAAAACACTGAGTGAAAACACTAAAAGCTTTTCAAATCATGTTACCATAAAACACTGTACACTGAAAAGGTGTAACTTCGATGCTGTAACTCAGTGTCTGGCTTGTTGAACCTGAGGGTGTTCTACAGAGAAACTGAGGATTTTAGTTAAAACCTTGTTTGTGAATATTCATTGGGAAGATATAGATACCACCCTCATTTTTCCTTTCATTGCAATATTTTGTAGAATATAGTTTCTTTTGTGAACTTAAATTAGTTTATTTATTTATTTATTTATTTTTTTTGACACAGGTTTCTGTAGCCATACCTGGTCTTGAACTGGTGACAATCCTTCTGTTTCAGCCCTTCTAATGCTGGGAGTACAGGTGTGAGCAACCATACCTGGCTTTAAAAAAATACTTAAGCTGGGTGGTGTTGGCACACACCTTTTATATCTGATTATATGTGCATCTGCAGATGTCAGAAGAGGTCTTGGAACCCCTGGAATTGCAGACAGATTTAGAGTAAGATGCCATGTGGGTGCTGGGAACAAGACAGGAGTCCTCGGCAAGAGCAACAAGTGCTCTTAACTATTGAACCATCCTGGATTTTGTTTTAAAAGTTCCTTTTTAATTACTTTTTAAATATCAGAGTTTAAAGAAACAAAGCAAGAATATTTGAAAGACATCTATTAAGTTAAATAATTATTTCTTAGTGAGGCTAGTCTTGCTCAATATGAGTACACTTGGGCATATTTATGTAGTCTAGGTACACACATAGGCATTAATTTGTTGAGCCTCAGTCTCTTTTTTTACTACTCTCTGAGAGCAAGTCGTTGATAACAGAGAACAGATCAAAACAATGCAACTTCCTTTACAAGTCCTCAAATCAGAACTCTAGATTCTGCTCAAAGTCTTTACTGGTTTGCAGAAAACATTGCAAATACCTGTTGGCTTGTTTTGTAAGGTTATTCAAACTGTCAAGTGGAGTAGTATGTACAAACCAAGTCGGTCAACTAAATCACTGTATCTGAAGCTGTATATATAAGAGATTTGTATTGATTGATGAGAGCAAATAATATCTATTTTCTTGGACAGAACAATCTTTCATGTATCTGTCACCCAAAAGACCCCTGCTGTTCATATTGGGAAGAAGTTGCTTTGATAGTAAAATAATAGAATAAAATAATAGGATACAACTCTCTCCCCCCACCAAATGGTATGTTTAGTAAAGTTAAACAGTTTCTTTGAAGGGAATGTTGCATTTTCATAATTAGATATCATCTGGGAAAACCCTTTCAAAGAAAATATTACCTAATAATGAAACTCTTTTGGTTCTCAAGGTGTTTTTTTTCTGGTTAGGTATTTTGTGCATGTTGTTAGTGAGAGAGGTTCTGAATCACAGTTAACAATGCTGACTCACTGTCATTCTTGAGTGGACCTGGACCTGCTGCTGGTCTTCATTCTCAGATCCCAGTTCCCAGCTACAGCTCTTTAATACTAGTTCCCTTCTGGTCTCTAGGGTTTATACTGATAGTGTTCACTGTGAATCTTAACTGTGTAGGTTTAAAAATAACCCATCATAATTGAACTTAAGTTTCAGAAATGATGCATTACTGTTGACTTCATATACTTACACATTCTATGTAATTAGTGTCCTTTTTGAGGGATACTTTAGCAATATTTTTTTCTTGGATTTCATACTAATGAGGTTTTCATGTATAATAATTTAGAATTAGGCTGATCTGTACTATATATGGTTATTTATCTACCACTTTTTAATGCATACTTGACGAAAATGTTATATACTATCCAAATGGTTGATAGATGCTTACTTTATTTACCTTCTCTACTAAAGAAAATCGTGGGTTTGGAAGTTTACAGACTTGCAAAATGGGAGAGAAGGATATCATGGTTCATTTAGTGCTTTGGTCTAATTACATTTCCATTTTCACTTCTTAGGTAAGCAGAATTTTATATAGTTTCTGTACTGCATTCAAACGTTCTTCCAGACATGTGGCTGATGTTAAAGATTCTATCATCCCGACCCCGGACAGTGATGTGTTTACCTTTAGTGTCTCCTTGGAGGTAAAAGAAGATGATGGAAAAGGAAACTTTAGGTGAGAATATCTGAAAAGAATAATCTGAAAAGAAAGTTAGCATTGTGCCTGAAATACGCTGTTCCCTAACATGCTTTCTAGACACTAGATTGTGTTTGTGTAAAGCTTTAGATAGGTCAAGAAATATTTGGCTGCTGAATGATTATACTTCACTCTTCTCACACTTCTTAGATAGGCAAACAATTTTCTTAATGATTAGAAGAATCTGAAATTGTAGAACATTCAAACCATAAAAACAGGGCACAGAGTGTACTTTTGTCAGCTATGGAGAATCACTTTTTGTTGAAAGTGTTAATTTGTTCCCCATTTACTTAATTATTTTGATTTCCTTTTTGAGACGAGGTCTCATTGTAGCATAGGCAGGCTTGAACTCTGTATAGCTGAAGTTAGTCTTGAACTCCTGATTTCCCTGCATCTACCCCCTGAGTGCTGGGATTATAAATGTGTCATTCCCCACTCCCAGCTAGTCAGTTTTTTCTTTTGTTGTAGAGAAAAATTTACAGCTTCTTATATACAATTTGTCTCCTTCAAAATAATTTTTCATTAAATTATTTTTTAAATTAAATCTTTAAAAATGTATTTATTTTATGTGTATGATTATTTTGCCTGTGTGTATGTTTAGAAAATGTATGTGCCTGTTGCCTGCAGAGGTCAGAAGAGGGCATTGGGTCCTATGGGACTGGAATTCCAGATTGTTGTGAGCTGCCATGTCAGAATTGAACCCAGGTCCTCTGCAAGAGCAAGTGCTCTTAACTGCTTATGTAACCCTCTATCCCCTTATTGAAATATTCTTCACCAAAATTAGTTTTAGTTGTTGCTGTTAGCATATTACATCATTGTTTAACCACTTCTTTCTATTATGCATTATAATGTTTTTTTTTTTTCAGTTCAAAGGTGAGTACTTAATAGGAAGTGGCTGTTCTAAGTAATAAACACCTATATACCTTAACAGTCTTTAATTTTTATTTTTTTACTTTTTGAGACAGAGTTTCACTATATAACCCTTGGCTGGCATTCAACTTGAACTCATAGAGATCGGCCTGCCCCTGCCTCCCAAGTGCTGGGATTAAAGATGTGCACTACCACATTCTGCAATTAAGTGTCTTTAATTCTAACAGTAATTGCTAGATAGTTATTTGTGTTTTTATCAATAAAAAGTGAATATCAGATTGAATAAACAACTAGAAGTATTTTTATTTTTCTGACAAGCTGTATTTTAAGTTTTATTTGTTCATTTATGAGAATATCTACTTTATCTTTTGGTAGACTTTGATTAACTTGCTGTGTATGATCTGTGTCTTTTTTGCCATTTTTTATTTATATTTACTTGGATATGTAAAAGTACCCTTAAATTCTTGGTGTTTAAAAGAGTAAGGTGTTCCTTACTGGTTTTTTTCTTGGTTTAATTATGGTACAGGTGCTCATGACCACCCAGCAGCAGCTGAACCAGAACGTGACAGTCTTTCACAGTTAAATAAGCAGTGTTGGAAAACTTGTTATAATTTAAAAGCTAAATTTGAAATCATACCATATTGTCATAGTTTTAGATATTGCATTTAACCTTCATTGAGAGATAAAAATATAAGGCTTTTGTAATCCATGTTTGTAGTTTCTAGAAGTTTTATATTGCTGGCTATAAAATTTACTGTTTTCTGCCTGTTGTGACGTGAGAGTCAGCATGACTTAAGAATATAGTATTTTTGCTGGGTGATGGTGGTGCACACCTGTAATCCAACATTTGTGAGGCAGAGGCAGAGGCAGAGGCAAGCAGATCTCTTGAGGTCAAGGCCAGCTTGGTTTATACAGTGAGTTTCAGGATAGCCATTGGTACACAAAGAAACCCTGTCTGGACATAAGCAAAACAAACAATAAAAAACAATATAGTGTTCTTGGCTTAATACTTTTTTGTTTTGTTCTCATTTTCCAATATGTTATTTTATTCTACTACTCTGGTGCTAATTTTTGTTCTTTTTGAACATTTCAGTCCTGTGCCTAAGGATAGAGATAAATTTTACTTCAAAATAAAGCAAGGAGTAGAGAAGAAGGTTGTGATTACTGTTCAGCAACTTTCTAACAAAGAATTAGCTATTGAGAGGTAAGCAGCTTGTTCTTATATCGTAGCTCAGACTGGGATTTCCATTGTTAATGTGTTTCAGATGCTTGGTATTGAATCTCAGCTGTACTGCTTGCTGTGGCTTTTCGGGTGTATCTTGTTTCTATTCGTCTTGCTCCTCACTCCTCTTCCTCCCTTACCCCTACTGCCTCTACAGAGCCCCTCTCACTCTTTACATTGAGGGAAATCAGTTACTTTTATTTTGGGTCTTTTAAAACTTCTGAAATTCCAGTGACTTAATGGAAAAATGTGTGTATATCTATTCATAGGAATCATTTTAAGTAAATAAATGTTTCAGAGGGCCAAAAAATTGTATATAAAGTCACTAACATAACCATTCCTTCCAAAATTTGATTTTAGATGGCAGTTATCCTCTATGATATATTTTTAGTGATTGACAGAAAACAAAGGAGAAAAATGGACAAGAATACAAATAGAGAAATTCCTGGAAAGTTATTCAGATGGTTAGCAAACACATCTAAACTCTCAATTTACAAGTAAATAAGATGCAAATTAAAGAAACCGTATGATTTCCAATTACATAATGAAGTAAAGGTGGGGATATGAGAAGAAAGATACATTGTTAATGGAATTATCAAGTGTTGCATACACTCAGAAAAACTAAACCAAGCCAGGCGGTGGTGGTATACTCCTTTAATCCCAGCACTTGAGAGTCAGAGGCAGGTGGATTTCCAAGTTCAAGGCCAGCCTGGTCTACAAAGTGAGTTCCAGAACAGCCAGAGCCATGCAAAGAAACTCTTGTTTTGAAACAAACAGAAAAAAACAAGACAAAATAAAAAAAAAAACTTTAAAACAAAACAACCCCCAAACCAAATAAAAACAAAAACAAATAAGCAACCCCTGCAAAACACCTCCCAACAAAACAAACAAAAAAACCCCAAACACTGCTACTCATGGAATTGTCTTCTTTGACTTAGCATTCATATATGACTCTTTTCTGTTTTAGTCAGCTGGAATATTATTGACCTTGATGAATATGTGTCGGGTAATTGAGTACCTAATTATATTTTCTTTACTAGCTTGGTTGAACACTTGTGTATGCATTTGAAAAAAGAATAGAAATAATAATTTAGGGATGTTACTTTTGCCTATTCTTTCAATGTGGGAAGTTTTTTTTTGGGGGAAGGGAAGGGATTAAGGGATGGGAAATAAATGAGAGAGGGGAGAAAGAAAGACAGAGAGAGACAGAGAGAGCACTTTTGCCTATCTTATATTTATAAAATAATTTTATTTACTCTCCTCAGTAATGTTCAATGTTAATGTCTTTGTCATCACATAGGCTACTTAGAACATAAATATTTTTTTCCAGAGCACATCATCTCAACTTCTGCCACTTAAATTACTTGAGAGAAACTTTTTAAATTACTATGTTATTATCATTAGACATTTTCCAAAGACATTTATCCATGTTAGGATAATTGTTTTTAAAAGTAATTCTATACAGTACCACCTACTATATTACTTTTATTCTATTTCTGTTTTTTCTTCCTTCTCTTTTTTTGATAGAGATAGAAGCCAGACATTGCAAATGCTAGGCAAGTACTACCCATGAATTATATCTCCAGCCCTCCATTTATTTATTTATTTATTTATTTATTTATTTGACAGGATCCCATGTACCCAGACTGATTTTGAACTCTGTATGTAGTTAAACATGACCTTGAACTTACTGATCTTCCTACCTCCATTTCATAAGTGCTAGGATTACTGGCAGGTGGCACCATAGCAGGCTTTCTCTATTTATTATTTTTTAAATTAAAATTTATTTTTATTTTAGTTCTGTGTGTGAGTGTTTTGCTTGCATGCATGTATATGTACCGTGTGTGTATGGTACCACAGCTGAAGGTATCAGATCACTCGCAGTTGGAGCTATAGGTGCTTGTGAGCTGTCATGTGGGTCTGGGAATTGAACCCAGGTACTTTGGAAGATCATTCATTGTTCCTAACTGCTGAGCCTTGTCTCCACATCCCTTAGTTTTTAGATTAGATTTACTTACTTTTATTTTTACTTGTATGAGTGTTTTGACTCTGTGTATGTCTCTGTACCTTGTGCATGCAATGCTCAAGGATGCCAGAAGAGGGTGTTGGAGCTGTTTGGAGTTGGAGTTACAAATGCTTTTTTTAAAATTTATTTTTATTTAAATTAGAAACAAGCCTGCTTCACATGTCAATCCCAGCTCCCTCTCCCTCCCCTCCTCCCCTGCCCCCTACCTATTCCCCACCCTATCCCCCCCTGCTACCCAGGGAGGGTGAGGCCCTCCATGGGGGATCACAAAAGTCTGTCATATCATCTGGGCAGGGCCTAGGCCCTCCTCCATGTGTCCAGGCTGAGAGAGCATCCCTCCACATGGAATGGGCTCCCAAAGTCCATTCATATGCCAGGGATAAATACTGATCTACTATCAGAGTTCCCATAGATTGCTGAGGTCTCCTCACTGGCACCCACATTCAGGGCATCTGGATCAGTCCCCATTAGTCTGGGGTCCATGAGTTCTCCCTTGTTCAGGTATCTGTTTCTGTGGGTTTCACCAGCTTGGTCTTGACCTCTTTGCTCTTCACTCCTCCCTCTTTGCAACTGGATTCCAGGAGTTCAGTTCAGTGTTTAGCTGTGGGTGTCTGCCTCTGCTTACACCAGCCACTGGATGAAGGCTCTAGGGTAGCATATAAGGTAGTCATCAATCTCATTATCGTGGAAGGACATTTAGGGTAGCCTCTCCACCATTGCCTAGATTGCCAGTTGGTGTCATCCTTGTAGATCTCTGGAATTCTCCCTAGTGCCAGATCTCTCCTCAAATTTATAATGACTTCCTCGATTATGATATATCTCATCCTGCTCTCTTCTATTCTTTCCCCAACTCAACCTTCCTGCTCCCTCATTTCCTCCTCTCCCCTCCTCTCCTCCTCCTCTCTTTTTCCCAGCTCCCTCTCCCCTCCCCCCATGTTCCCAGTCTACTCAGGAGATCCTGTCCCCTTCCTCTTCTCCGGGTACCATGCATGTCTTTCTTAGGGTACTCCCTGTACATATGCTTGTTAGTGGCTGTGTGGGTGCTGGGAATTGAACCCACATCCTCTGGAAGAGCAGTTAATTCTTCTAACCATTGAGCCATCTCTAGCCCTCTATTTCATCTTATATGGAAAAAAGAGAAATTGTGTATGTTTGAGATTGTACAAATTTATTCACAGAATGATTAAATTATTTCATTTTAGTGTAGCAATATTTCTCAATTCTAGACAAACTTTATTATCTGTCTAACGTTTCATTCATTTATGCAATGCACTTCTATCATATTCACTCTCTATCACCCTTTTCTGCTGCCCTCTCATCTTGTTTTTCTCCTCTTTTTCCAAATGGTTCCCCTTATACTTTCATGCCACTCCCACTATAGATTACATTTTCTTATAGATGACATTTTTTTATGTTTGAATAAGACTCCATTATGTATATTTTCTTTATCCATTCATCCATTATAGGCACCGAGGCTTTTCTATGATGTGGTTATTAGGAGTACTGCTGCAGTAAGCATGGATATGCAGGTATCTCTATTGTGTGTTGACTTTGAGTCCTTCATTTCTTTCTAATTCTATATTAGAGTAGTACTATAGGAGCAGATGGTAGTTCTGTTTCTAGTTTTGTGAGGCACTGCCATAGTGATTTCCATAATGGCTCTACTAATTTGCATCACCAAATGTGAATGAAGACTTTACTCCTCAACCCTCTCATCCTTGCCAGCATTTGCTTCTTGTCTTCTTGATGTTAGCCATTCATTTTATTTGGATCGAGATGGAATCTCAGTGTAGTTTTTAATTTGTATTTACTTGGTAACTATTATTTTTTCATGAATTTATCAGTCATTTGTACTTCCTTTGAGGACTGTTCAATTCATTTGCTCATTTGTTGATTGGATTACTTGTTCTGTTTTTTAAGTTTTAATTTTTATATGTTTAAAAAAATTAATCACTTAACAGATGGATGCTGGTAAAACTTTGTCCCTTTCTGTGGGTGTCTCTTCACACCAATGATTTTCACTTTTGCAGAAGCTTTTAAATGTGTGTAGTCTCAGTTGTTAATTCTTGCTATTTTATTCTGGCCTATAGGAGTTCTACTCAGAAAGTCATTGCTTATCCTCACATCCAGAAGTATTTTCTCCATGTTTTTTTTTTTTTCCCCTAATAGCTCAAAATTATAAGGTCTTTGATCCATTTAGAGTTGATTTTTCTAGCAGGAGGGAATCAGTATCTTGATGATAATATCATACTTTCAACTATAGCAATGGTTAATAAATTCATGCTAAAGTATTTAGTCCTTTTTTTTTCTTTCTTTCTGTTTGATGATCTCAGTAGTATGCAAGTGGAATTGACTTGGGATTGCTTTAGGCTTGCCCAAACAATTCTTCCTTTGACAGAGTTAATTATCTGGGATATGGGAGACTTTGCAAATACTTAGTTTAATCTGTCTTGAAAAGAAACAAACCTTGCCTTTTATTATGCTAAATGTTTTTTAATGTCTGTAAATCAAAAACTGTAAATGGTGGGATTTAATGCTCCAGTAGGTGGCAGTCTCATCAAGAAAATTCTTAACACTTGAGTCTTCACTACACAGCTATTAACAAAGTTCTTTTGTAGTAGAAAGACAGTTGGTGTGGAAAGTATATATTTCAGACTACATAATTTAAGCATGTCTTGTTAAGGAGAAAATAAAATTTATTTAAAAAATAAATATATGAAAAATAAAAATAAAAATATAAAATTCCCATTACACCCCAAAGTAGAAAGAATAATATATTGAACCCTAGGTGTACTTAGCACCCATCTGGATTCTAATTATTAGGTTTTTTTGAAAGACTTCATTATTTATTTATTTATTTATTTGCAAGTTTTTTTTTAAAATTTGAATTGGAAACAAGATTGTTTTACATGACAATTCCAGTTCCCTTCTCCCTCCCTTCCTCCTCTCCCACCTC